CCAAGCTGATCATGAAAGCCTACTGGCTTGCAAGGCTGAGCCGGCCAGACTTGCTTCATGTACTAAACGAGCTAAGTAAAAGAATCACAAGATGCAGTAAGAACGATGACAGAAGACTGTTCAGGGTTTTCTGCTATCTCAATGGCACGAAGCATTTTGGAATGAGGATGAAACTAGATCCTGATGCCGATTGGGTACTGTGGCTGTTCACGGATGCTGACCACGCATCCAAGACAGATCATGGTTATTCGACCTCAGGTTCCCTGCTTACAATAGCTGGAGGTTCCTCTTTCTTTCCTGTAACGTTCCAGTCAAAAGAGACAAACAGCCGGCAGCAGATCGACAACAGAGGCTGAAGCAATTGCATTGGCCACTGCGGTGTTCAGCGATGCTATCCCTGCACAAGAGTTCTTGTCAAAATTGCTAGGAGTATCAATACCTTTAATCTGTCAGCAAGACAACACTGCCACCATCCAAGTAACTAAAAATTGATACAGCGCTCGCCTTAGGCATTTAGGGAAAGCCCACAAAGTCAATGTTCAAAGGTCTTTACGATGCTTTCAAAGAGCCGGATATTAGCATCCAACATTGTCCGACAGAGCAGCTAGCTGCAGTCAGCGCTTGATATGATTGGAGTGGCAGTCAGCGCTTGATATGATTGGAGTTTTTGATCCGTACAAAGAACCGAAAAATGCCTAAATAGACCCGTTCCTTGTTGAGCCAGCCTTGATCAGTTCTTGTGTTGGAAAGCCATTTTGGCGACTCCTTGGTAGGGACCAAAGGTTGCATGAGGAGGCGCATCTGTTTGCTCTTGCAGTGTGCTGTGGCGTGCCGCGCCTTGCAAGTGTCGTGCATTGCGTATCCCAAAATTAGGTTGGAATATGAGATCAGTTCTCAGGAAGGAGTAGCACTGTCGCCCATGCACCCAGGAATGAACAGACCAAACTTCCACAAGCACATGTCTTTTCCATATGCAATCACTCGTCATAGACTAGCTCCGTACAGATTCGCAAAGAATAAATTAGTCAATGTCGAGTTTCCCGTGCAGCAAGAGGGCCTTAGCTTTGTCGTTCGACCGCAATGCCTGATCACCATTCGCAGTAGTTCGCAAACTCTCGCAGGAGGGGGGTACAGAACGAATCCAACCAAAGGGTAGGGTTTGACCTCCTCGAGCGCTACTAATTTTGGCTCAAGGTAAGAGAGGCCCCTGAAGCTGCTTTGTGTCGTTTCTTTGGTTTTACCACATAATCAGCCTTTCATTGTTTAAGTCTAACTTAATTCTCAATTTGGAATCTTAAATTCGAATTTGAACCTGATTGAACTCAATTTTGAATCTAATTGATTTCTAATTTAAGTGTAGGTTCAATCTCCAATTCTATGTTAAGTCAATTCTAACTTACTCCTATTGTAAATGTCATTTTAACTTTTAATTTTCATTCAAGTCTAATTCTAATTCATTGTTGCAGTAATTGAATTCTAATCGAGCTGCAGGTTAAGCAAGTCTATTTCAATTCTATCTTAACTCTAACCCAATTCTAATTGAAACAATTGGAATTTTGATTCAATCTTAGTTTAATTCCAATTCAAATCTAAATTAAGTCTAAGTTGCTTTTGATTTATCTCGAAGTTAGTTCTAATTTTGTTTTATGTTAATTCAAATCTAGTTTAGTTTATATTTCAGTGTATTTGTAATTAATTTTAGTTTCAGCTAGTTTAAATCGTACACAATTCAATTTCAGTTGTTTTACAATTTCATGTTGATGAATTCTAAGCTAATTTTAGTTCGATTCTAGTTCAATGCAAATGTATTTCCAAATCAATGCAAACTGCAGTCTCATTTAATTGCCGTTTTCTAGAGAGAGGGTTTTGGTGGGGGTGTGATTTTAAGAAAACAACCTTTAAGAAAGCAACACATAAATTATATACAAAGCCTTCATTTTAAAAGCAACACGCACTCTCTAGAAGCAAATTCGAATTGCAAAAAAGCCAATATTAGAGTAGAAAAAGAAAATTGTATCAGATCTAAATATACACTGCATAGAAATTATAGCAAAACAAGTGGAAATAAATTAGAAATAGAATTGCATTGAATTCCAATTAAAGTAAGTTATATATGGAATGTACTCAACATCAAATTTCAACTGAATGATAATTGAAATGGAATTAACATTCAATTACAGTAGAATTAGATAGGTTTGAATTTGAATTCAGTTAGAATTGAATTACAATTGGATCATTTAGGATTTCAATTGTCATTAAATTGAGATTTTACTAGAATTAAACTAGAATTGTAAAATAGAACTAAACTAGAATCACTAGAATTGTAAAACAACTAAAATTGAATTATATAAGATTTAAACTAGCTGAAACTAAAAATCACATAATTACAAATAAATTGAAATATAAACGAAACCAAAAAAATTGGAATTCACATAAAACTAAATTAGAACTATATAACTTCGAGATACACCAAAAGCCGGCGGGTTTGGGGGGGCTAGTATATATATATATATCTGGCATATATGCCAATCAGTTGGGGTGGTTACAGGGGATATAGGCATATTTTGGAGTGTTTGGATGCGTCCTGCGTCTCGCATCCCACTTGTCCCTGAAGAGGCGAATTGAAGCCGTTTCAAGCGGCCTGAGATGTACGGTGTAACGAAAACAGACATTGTATATAAGGTTTATATTTAGTGTTTGTTTGTATATATATTGTTAATATCTACATATGTATGTATATATATAGCGTTTGTATATATACAGTATAGTATATATGTATACAGTATAGTGTTTGTTTGTATATATACATATGCTACCCCCCCCAAAAGATCTACCATGTTTGCCTGTTGCATGCCTGTTTGAGTGATATTTTCAAATATCAGATGAACCTTTTGGACAATTTCACTGATTTCAGAGAACAAATTGAACAGTATAATTTTGACCATATTGTGGTCTTTGACTGGGTGTTTGTTAAATCATTGATTGGTTCTAATTTTTTTATATCACACCGGCGCCTATGATGAGTTTATTGTCCTTGTGTTTTTCAGTAACGTTTTAAAGTTTGAAGATTGGTCATATAGGTTTCATCAAAGAAGATGACATCAAAATTGTTATGATCAAACTCTTGCTACTTCATCCCCCTGATGAATTGGAATGCGTTAAAAAAACTGTTATAGGTTGTTGCGTCAGCTTCTATTTCTTGACTTAACCGGTCATGAGGCACTACAAACAAAATTTGTTTATGCACCTGTTTAAAATCTTGACCTATGTAACTCTTGCCCGATCCAGCAAATTTTGCTCTGATCATGCATGGGTTTTGTATTTCAATTTGCTTACATATTCCGGGGGTGTCCCATTCATCCACCACCTCTATTGGTTCATTTTCTAGTTTTCGTAGTTCAATTAAGTCATTATATCTAAATATGTACTTATGTGATTGAAAATTGATTGATGTGTTTGTCAGTCTCCACTTGCCTATGCCTTCTTCAAAGTTCAATATTCCAGTTTGATATGATTTTATAAAATGATTTGGTTTGCCCATCAATCTAGTCAAATCGTCTTCATGGATCGTGAAGGCATCACTCTCCACTGAATAGACCTTAATATCATTTTCTGAAAAATTTCTATGCTTCATACATTGAAAAGTTATGATATTGAAGAAGCAACTCTTTTATATCTCTAAGCCCATTGACTAATTCATTTCTATTGGTGGTGTTTAAGATGTAATACGTATTGCATGGTTGCTTCTTCTTTTTTTTCTATTTCTTGTCTGGCAATGGCAAGCCTCCCTCAAAGTGTGAAACCGTAACTCTTCTGTGCGGTGTTGTGTGATTTCTAGCATTCCAAAGGTGATGTGTCCTATGTTCTTTTTGTCATCTTTAGTAAGATCGGTTTCCCACAGTTCATTAACAATTTGGTCATAATTGACCTTATGAATGAATGAAGGAATTTTATAGCAACATATGTGTTCATTGTTTGCTTCCAATAGTTTTCTTAAACACTTTCCATATATTAATTTATACCTCTTATTGAAAACATTTGATGCCTTCACTTCCACCGTATACAATATAAAAGTAGATAATTTGCTAATGTCAATCAATGCCATCCCTGTAATGTGTCCAACTATCAAACTCATAAAAAAAAGAAAACGGTATGAATTTAGTCTGTGTAAATGCCCATGTAAAGGCTGTAGTCCTGTCAATCTCTATCAGTTTTGTTGTATCAATGTTGTTATCAAAATAACCTGATGGGACTATAGTTCTACAATGTTTTTATCAACATAACCTGATGGGACTATAGTCATGTCATATTTTGATATATGTGTGCCGTTTTGGACAGAGACGGTGCCATGCACTGGGAAGCTGCCCAAGGAAGACGCCATGTCAGGATACAGGGTGGGCGACTTTCTAGATTTGATTTGTTGAACTGCAGACTAGGTAAGACAAGCAGATATTATTGTTTGAGAAGTGAAGTACGCGTACTGTACGCGTACAATGGTCAAACCAAGAACCAAGATTGCACACAGCTCTTGTCAGGAATCTTGGTTTGACAGTCAATGTGGATGACCTCCTCACACCCCAAACCAAGATTCATTTTCATAGGTCTGTGGAATCTTGGTTCCTTGGTTTGACCATTGTACGCGTACAGTACGCGTACTTCCCTGCAACCAATGATGTGCAGTGAGCATCTCAACAGTTAGCATACAATAAGACATGTATATATATATATATATGGTATTCCCCTTTCAATAAATTGGATGAACATCCACAACCGTGAAGCAAGTGAAGGAAACAAAAATGGTAGATTTTTGGGGGGTACCATATACAAATATATATATATATATGTGAGTACGATGTTTGCATATACACAAATTTGACCTATCTATAACTATATATATGTATATTTGATTTGTATCCATCTATTTCGGGTCCAGAGGCACGCCGGCGTCGTGCGCTACGACACACCGACACTCCCCGTGAGTCTTCCTCCGTCAGCGCCAGGTGTGTCTTCCTCGGTGGCTGATCCGACCAAAGAGTACAGTATGGTAAGCTCACATGGATTCATGGGCGGAGTGAAATCCTTCGCTCATAGTTCAATTGCTATGCCAGGTTTGCCTCAGTTTCACCAGGGCTCACATGTCACACATGTCCATCACTTTCACTCCTTTGGCACGCCTGTGGATTCTTCTTTCGGCATGCCAGTGGATCAAGTCAGCTACGGTGATTCTTCTATGGTGGGTGATTCTTCTGCTACAGGGTATTCTACTGTTGGCGACGTTGACTCTTCTGTTACAGGGGATTCTTCTTCTTTGGGCGTCCCAGCAGATCAAGTCAACTACGGTGCTTCTTCTTTCGGCGTCCCAGCAGATCAAGTCGACTACGGTGCTTCTTCTTTCAGCGTGCCAGCGGATCAGGTCAACTATGGTGATTCCGTTGCAATGCCATCGGACATGAATCAGGTTCACTACACAGCACACGGAGGTTCGTTTGCTATGCCAGCCGACATGGATCAGATTCACTTTGGTGCCAGTTCCATTGTCCCAGGATGGACGAAGAATTCCTTGGGTGGCTTGGAGCATCACTCAGTGGTGGATTGCACCACGGTGGAGGAGGATGCTTCGGTGGCCAAGCTGGAAATGTGTTGCAAATACGGCAAGATTGGTTGCAAGCAGCTGAAGAAGGCAAAGAAGGCGAAAGCCAAGAAAGCTGAGACCAAGGAAGATGATGCTGACGATCATGATAAAGACGATCATGACGACGATCACGATCAAGAGAAGGAGTCTGCCGAAGAGCCTTCAATGGCAGTGGAAGATGTAGAAGAGAAGGAGGTGCAGGCAGAAGAGCCAGAGAAGGAGGCTGCCGAAGAGCCTGAGACGGAGGCTGCCGAAGAGCCAGAGAAGGAGGCTGCCGAAGAGCCTGAGACGGAGGCTGCCAAAGAGCCTGAGACGGAGGCTGCCGAAGAGCCTGAGGCAGAGGAGCCAGAAAAGGAGTCTGCCGATGAGCCTTCAATGGCAGTGGAAGATGTAGAGGAGAAGGAGGTGGAGGCAGAGGAGCCAGAGAAGGAGTCTGCCGAAGAGCCCGAGACAGCTGAGAAGGCGGTGGAGGCAGAGGAGCCAGAGAAGGAGTCTGCCGAAGAGCCCGAGACAGCTGAGAAGGCGGTGGAGGCAGAGGAGCCAGAGAAGGAGTCTGCCGAGGAGCCCGAGACAGCTGAGAAGGCGGTGGAGGCAGAGGAGCCAGAGAAGGAGTCTGCCAAGGAGCCCGAGACAGCTGAGAAGCAGGCAGAGGCAGAGGAGCCTGAAAAGGAGTCTGCCGAAGAGCCTGAGGCAGAGACGAATTGATCCACAATGCCAGGCAGTATTTCGGGCGTCACCAAAGGTGTTGCCAGGTCGTTTTCCAAAAGACCTACCTTGTGTACCAGTGGACTGCTCAAAGACGCTCAACGATGCCTCAAAGTGAGACAGCAAAAGTCGAGCTGATTGTGCTTGCCGACGTTTTCCTGCGGTCAAGGGGGGGGCACAACTCACCAAATGCATTTGTTGGATTTTGTTGGGAGCTGAAGTCAAACAGTGAACTGGACCGTAGGTAGGGACGTGGACCTAAACTACCATCCATAACTTCTAGAAGGGTCCTAACTAGAAGGTGTCCAGTCCTAACTAGAAGGTGTCTTTGGTAGGGTCCTAACTGATCTTATTTATAGAACACCAGTTGTCCATTTCATTTGAGCACTTCTAACCATCAATCCGCCACAAGATCTAGTGGGACCGCCAGCGGCGGAAGGCACCTGCCCTACAAGAGACTGGAAGGCACCAGATGGTACTTGATGGATGGTACTTCATGGACTCATCATGTCAATGTTTTGGAGGTACTACAGAGGCGCGCAAGGAATCATCCTTTGTGCCTTGTCCACCATCGCAAGCAGGGCGTTGCTTGCAGGGCGACCGACCGTTTTTTCACGCGTGGTTCGATCACGAAGGGCATGCATGCACCCAGACCCACGACCAGTGCACGAAGAAGTTAGGACCCTGGCGACCGGTGTATTTCAGAAAGATGGTAATGAGTGTGGCTAGTAGACGTGATGCTGGCACCAAGTCGCAGCCTCCAACAAATGGGCCTCTCGGCCTATCCCAATGAAGCAAGAGTATGAGGATCAGAGTCTGCCGCTGACCCTTCTTTCCAATGACTTGCATCGAATATCTAATGAGCGGCTGGGAAGGTGTAGGGGCAAATACTCCACGTAAGTACTTGCGTGTTGCAACCGCTAGGCTACTAAGCTGATAGTCTCCATCATCCTACGGCAGAGAGAACACAAGAACGAACTGCCACTATAGGCTATAGGGGTTGACTAGCTCCGCTCCAGTCCTACAATCCAATGAGGGGAAGATGATCCTTTTCTAACCATGGACTCCGAGAAATGCCACAGCACATAGCTGTGGCCTGGCACTCCGCGACCAAAAACTCCATCGTTGGCACGACAGCTCATGACTGGCACTGCTCCTGGTCTGAAGCGACGCTCATGACGGGACCAGACCACGCCTCCGAAGCCAAGAGAAAGCGACCAGACCCTGAAAGAACGCCTTTCAGGTTCGGAAGGTGGGGATGACGAGCCTAGTTAACGGCTCGTCATGGAAGGACCATCCATTTCGACGGTCCAAATCTGTGTAATTGTCCCGTCAGGACGGATCAGACAGCACGGATTGAACCTCATAGCTGGTTTGCTGTTGAACCAATGAACCGTGCGCACGATGAGCAAAGCGTAGTGACCCGTCGTTTGGGGGGATGACCCGGGATGGCGTTCGGGTGGTGAATTCCTCATCCCGGTCACCTCCGATCCCCGCGCACCTGATGGCGTGCAATTCCCTGACCACTGGGGAAGACCTGGTGTGGGAAGACAGTTTCCCTGCACCTGTCCCACATCCTGAGCTGGGCCAGCACCCCTGGGTGCCAGGAAAGTCACCTGAGGAAAGTCGACCACTGGGGCCCTAGGCCTTTGTCTCAGTCGCCTCACTTGCTGGTCGAAGCCCCTGGTGGACGGCTGCGGTGGACTCCGCGGGCATCGGTCGCCTGAAGGGCGCATCGTCACCGAAGCCGCAGCGAAAGAGCGGAACGTCCGATCCCAACGTAAGCCCATCACGAGTGAAGCCCATCCTGATTTGGGTTCGCAGATCTTCAGAGAGATATACCGAGTTCCATGCCGTGGTTCCTGAGTTTGCCGAGAACAGAACGCCTCAGTGCTTCTCCTGACCAGGCTGATAAGCCTTGGTCGAAAGCAGGACTCCAGGGGCCAACATCCTCAGCGGATGTGCCGCAGTTAGTCCACATGCGCCACGTATGTCACGACGTTTGTGTTTGCAGAACACCCAAACTCTTATCAGGATCAGTGGCTGAAGCTGTAAATAATCAGGTCCCAAGGCATCGAACCCATCAAAAATACGACACTGGCTGTAATACTAGGCTATCTAAAAACTAAGGAATGCACGTCTTGTGATGTGGCAATCCTATAGTTCAAACACGACTGGTACCAGTTCAGTCTCCCAAAACAAGCCCTGGCCCTACAAAAAAAAACACCGTCAGCATCACATCATCCACTCGCTTCATTTCGTTCGTGTTCACGAAAATCGCACCACCCGAGGCTATGATTGCACGCAGAGGAGTACCTTTGAGCACGTGAAGTATTGGCAAGATGAGGTTCGAAGGCCGGGTCCGGATCGTCCGTCGGATGACGTCCGTCGAGGGTCCGAACATCAGGTCGGGTCTTGGCTGGCGACCTGGGATGAACTGGGGGGGGGTTGAGTGGTGCCTGAGCAATCGCGCCTGAAGCCGAAGCCATGGAGAGGGGGGGATAATGGTACGGAGACTTAAGGGTTGGCATCTTGTTCCATGTTTTTCCTGGTAAGAGATCCTAGCCTTCTTCTGCCGAGTCTTGTGGCGTGCACGGAATCTGGAGCAGTGTTTAGGTGGTAAGGTTTACCGCACTGGGTCTGATGTCAGAGCAGCGCCTTCCTGTCCGCTGGCAGGTATTCCACCAATCAGGATGCGATTCTGATGCTGGTTTCGAACAAGGCCCTGAGCGGCTCCGTGACCCCCGTGTCCCCCGTGAGTCGTGGACCCAGTCGCACGACGTCCCTGAAGCCGTCCCTCTCGCGCTTCGCAAAGGCGACGTCCCTTCGCGTCCGAGCGGCGTCCCTTCGCGTCCAACAGAATTGGCTTCGTCGAGTCGCAGAGGTTGGAGATGGTTGGATGAAATGGCATCTGAGAATGGATCCATGGATCAAAAAGACAGGTCGATGAAGTGATTTCAAGTGCCATCTTCAAATCACATGGTGTCCCCTTGGAGTCGAAGGTGTTGTTTTGCCTTTCGGGTGATGCCCGAATCCCCAGAACCAGCAACGTCGAGATCCCTCCCCATTCAGGCTCCGGGCAGAACTCCGCCCGGCACCCTCCGTTCACCCACCTTCACCTTCAAAACGAAGGTCACCACTGCAGGTTCTCGGACCGGTTGTCGTCGAGCGCTCCGGAGAATGCTGAGATCATCCTTCCACATCGGAAGTGGATTGGTGTGTTTGACCAGTGCCGAAGGGACTGGAGAAGAAGGTTTGCTCCAAGGTTCCACGGTGCCTTCCGATTTGGATGCTGTCGTTTGCATCCCAACAACTGCACGAGCCAAAGAGCCCAGGAAAAATGCAGGGCATCCCAACATATGCCAACCAAACATTTTCTTTGACCACTTGTCAAACAGATGATGGAATGGCAGAAATGTATAAAGAACATTAAAGAACCAGTTGTCAAGCGACAGGGCATCCCAACCAATTCGTTTCTCTTTAACCACTTGTCAAACATGCTTAAAAGATCGTTCTTCCAGAAAACGGCCCCGGTGGAGAGGAAAGCACCTAAGGTTCACGTCAGCAAGGGTTTAGCGGCTCGACCCGGAACCGATAGATGCGCCTGGTGTTACTCGGTTTTTGAGGGGTCAGACCACCCTATCCAAACGATCCATGTCAGCAAATATCACCTACATTTGGACACATTCGGTGGGTTTCTTGGTGGTGAATCTGTGTAGGCCACATCTACATGGATCATCATCGGGTGATATGCAAAGTATAGAGACCGAGACGGAACCGTACGACTCCCCTCCGTCGTTGGGTGGAAGAAGAAGGCTTCAGTCCGTACGACGATCTCCCGGTCCATCGACGAGACGACGATCGATCCAATTCGGTCCAGGTGGATTTACCGGAGGTGCAAGTCTCGAGAACGGAGGGCGAGGAGAGTCGGGCGAGACGGTTCGTTCGTTCGTTCGTTCGAGGAGTCGGTTCGTCGGCGAGGAGAAGGAACAGGTCGGTTTGTGAAGACCAAGACTATACGATCATGTTTACAAAGATAGGATCAGATCAGTCTTATCAGTTTAAGTTTAAGTATTATAAGATAGATATGTTCTTAACTACATGACTAAGATATGATAAGATCCATGTTTACAAAATAGACCCACACCGACTCCGGTGTCGGGACATTCACGTCACCGGTCCGGGAAAAATCGCTTGGTTCCCACACCCACAGCGGGCTGGCGGGCGGGTTGGCGGTTCCAAAGGTGTGTCCGAAAGGTGATGACCCCGTTTTGCAGTGTTTGCCGATGATGTGGATTTCGGTTCCAAAGCTCAGAGGCTCTTGGGACCCGAACTGAGCCGGTCCAGTTCACCTGCCTGCTACATGGTGAAGGATCCAGTTCACCCTAGTTGTGAGGGTCAAGACCTAGCTACTTAGTATGAGGGGGCAATGAGCCTTTGGGTGAGTGAATCCTCAAACTAGGAAAGATGAGTTCTTTCTCTCTCGCTTGCTGCTTGCTGCTTGCAAATGCCTAAGTTGACCCTGCGCTTCTGCAGACGTGTTTCTTGCCTGTCGCGCTTCTGCAGACGCAAAAGGTGGAGCACCCGTGCAGCACGGCCTCGCAGCCGACGCGGCAGGAGTTTGCCTTCGCCCAGTCGATGATGTTCATCGAGACGAGCGCCAAGACGAGGTCCTTTTGCGTCCCAACCGATCGAGTGGAGCGAGCGGAGGTCCTGAGTTCGTCGGGTGCTTAAATATAGATTAATATAGGTTAAAAGTTGTCAACGGTATATTATCATATATAAACCAAGACTTTGTGGTTAGTGGATTCCATTGATTTCATGTGGCGATTCACATCGCCAGAATGAACAGAACGGTTGACATGTGCCACCCTTGGCTGTTGGCTCTAACTATCCCACGGCATATCTAGAGGGATGGCCGAGATTTGGGGTCATAAACCTCATAATTCGGGTAAATCTTGGCAACTGTTCCAGTCCCATGGAATAGAAATATCCTTCGTTCCGTGCACCTACCGCAGACGGAAGGATCCACGGCAAACACCGTCTTGGTCGTGTTTTGGGGCACTGGCCCTGGGGGGCGGGGGCACAGCCATTAAAAAACAGGGACGTCCTTGATGGATATATATGGATATGTTTCGTAAAGCTTTTGCAGAGCCAAACAGAAACTCAGGGCTCCCTGATGGTTTTGTTCCCAGCTGCCAAAGCGAGCCGCTGCCTTGGGCTCATGAAAAATCCACTTGGCGAAGCATTGAGCTAAGAAGATGCAGAGAGAATCAGAGCATTATAATGTATTCTCAGGTCTCTGACTGTCGCCAACTCTCTCTTGACGAAAGGAGACCGACCTGGGTTTGGATCCTTCGAGGTGGGTCTAAAGCAACATGTTTGTTGTTTCTTCTCCTTGGAAGAAGCAACTCCAGCAAAAAGTGGGGCCTTTTTGGAAGGATTTGCTTGTCCTCTCAACACCTGATCTGTGAATATCTGCGACACGTTCAGAACATCATCGCCGCAACGGCGAAAACACTGCGACACCCGCGCGTGGACGCGCGCGATGGCCCGATGATGCGCCGCTCATTGCTGAGCCTTGCAGCACCTCATCAAGAGAGCGATGGCAAGCAGAAGTGTCCAGCAAGGATCCACCAATGGATAGATGGTATGGTAAGACCGTGTAAGCCTGCCCAGGCAAAGTATTCAACCTTGGCCTTTGAGGGAAGCTCCTCTCTCTCTCTCTCTCTCTCTCTCTCTTTTTGTCTCTCTCTTTCTGTCAGGATACTGGGTTCAGCTTGCCGTATCCATGATTAACAGAAGTGAGATGCCTTATGATGCCTTGAACTACCAGAACCGTCGTATTCGTCATGATCGGTGGAGGGGGATACGGGCAGTCTGCTTCTATTGAGGTGCTCTTGAGTTGAACTATTGCCCCAAATCTCGCCCCAGCAGATCTAGATGTCAGTTGCCAGTTCCCACGGATTCTTGCTACGTGAAGATTTCACCCTAAAACCCTCCTAACAGGACTTTCGACCGATGATGGTCGTTCTCCGAGACTCCCAGCCAAAACATCCCGCCCGACCCACTCCTTGCAAGGACGCGTAGCATCGCCATCAATTCGAGTCAGAAGAAGCGACATCAAATCAAAAGCAAATCATCAGAGACGTCTCCGAACAGAATAACATCCCTTTTCAGAGATTAGAATGCCTGATGGCACTATTCCACTTTTTGTTTCGAGGTAGAAAGAAAAATCAGAAGTGTTTCAGGTAGAGACGTCACACTCAGAGAAAGCGAACTATACGAGCTAAAAAGTCCCTATAGGACAGATGGATGGTAAAACCATCGCTGCAACCGTCTTCGGACCGAGTCGACCGACCGAGGTCCTGGCCTTGACGCCGGGTCAGCTGTGTCGCCGGGCCACCGGACCGGTCCGGTCGTGGAGCCGTTTTCGGTGCGCGGAGCATGGGGAGACTGTTTCCTGCGATTCCACCATGGATTCTCCCCTTTTTCACATTGGAATCCCCATGGATCCTCATCAAACCTGCAAGTATACGACCTCCATGTAAGCCTGCAGCATGGGTGTGTATTCCACACCCACCAGAGCGTTTCGAGGTGGACTACAGCAGTCACCAGACTCGCTACATCCATGGTCATGGGGGGTAGACCGTCCCTCCGCGCCCTCCAGACCCACACGGACGGTCGCAGGTGACCAAAACCGGGAGGATCGTTCGGAAGTCACCGAGTCACCCGGTGGTTTTGGTTTCGGAGTTCGGAAGGCGGAAAAGACATGGAAAAAACACGTGGAGAACACGTGGAAAACACTATACGTAGTTGAGGTTTTTTTTGGCATGTGACATGTGCATCATATTTGTGCTGCATATGAGTGCGTGTGTTTTTCATAGGGGAAGCCTCCAAAGAACCCCGTGGAAGAAGTAAAATAGACCCAAACGCATTGATTGGAGGGTTCGAAAATGTGTTGCTCAGATGTGGACAAGCCAATACAAACAGCATCAGGCCTAAGCAAGAATCCCATCTGTTTCTTTTTGCAAGACTCAAATGTGGACTTTGGGACTTCATACTGCCTTCGGCATGAAACGTCGCGGAAGCAAAAAAAGAACAACACCGCAGGGTATGGAAGGGCATTCCATGACAACTCAGGGAAAAGATCCGTGTGGCGGAGTTCGGCGACGCGTTCCGCGACGTTCAACGTGCAGCTCGGGTCGATGACGTGAAGACGGGGAGGAAAAGAGCCGTTCAAATGGATTTGTTCAAGATCTAATCTGACTGGTGCGTCTCGCAGGGAATGAGGGAATGGATCCAATAGAATCTCTACTGGGGGCTCATTCCCTTATTCCCTACGAGTCGCACCAGTCAGTAATCTGCAGTCCCTCCCAAATATGCCTCTCAGAGAGAAGAAGTCTTTCTCCAGAAGACAAGTATCAGATCAAAAGGTGGCCATGGAGACGGTACTACGCTGTGACGGTGCTGTGACATGCTGTGTGGTGTGGAAGTCCAGGAAAATGACTCATCAACTACCCCACCTGGTATACTGATCAGGTTCGTCCTAGTACCTATAACTGTCAGTCAACAAGAACAGATTTTTGAACAAGCCCTGCAACTGAACCATCATCGTCCACTGTTACTGGATGTTACTGGTAATGGGATAGACCCAAGGTGACCATAATCCACCACTACCAGGCCGGGGTTCTGGGGAGGTTCCCCCCATGTCGTTTGCAGGCCATCGCCTCCTGGACGGAGCGGTGTTTCAAGAGCTCGCTGGAGCCTGTCAACATTAGTCCACTATGTTCCGCCATGCCATGCCATACAGTATTCGTGCACCGCATGTGGCTGCCTGTTTCAAAAACAATGAGTTCTGCATGTTTGCCCGAGGAACGTTGGCTGGGTAGACTAGTCTATTGTGCTTCCAGAGGGCCTCTGGGAGGTCTCCCTATCTTAATACAACTCACAGATTCTCCAGTGAAAGACTTTTGTCATCGACCCAACAGCATCCAAAATACCTGCTCCGGCCGAGGTACTTGGTGCGGCATGGCGAGTCCACCTGGAATTCAGCCGCGAAGCGCTGGGATTTGTGGCAGATGTTCTCCCAGGCGGGAGTGCCGCCCCCCATGGCCGGGGTGTGTATGGTCCAATATGGTCCCACTTCCAGTCCTTCAGAAGGAGGGGTCACCTAGTCTCATAGTCCCCTATGGAAGGTGGGAGGGGGGTGTGGAGCGAACAAAACATGTTTAAACAAAGAGCTGGCCGATCGGGCACAACAACCAGAAAGCTCGCTGATGCAGATCGCTGATGCAGATCCCCAGCCTTTGAAGAGTGACTAAAGAAGAGTCTAGTGCACCCAATGGTTAAAGAAGAAACACCATGTTTACGCCGTAAACCATAGAAAGCCTTTGCCCCTGTAATTATACAGTATGGTGAAGGTACCACATCATTTATATATCACAAAAGAACTGAGATCTAAAAGAACAATCATTGCGAAGGCACCCCTTTTTTGTTAGGAAGTCTCAAGTTTGACTGGTGGAATTGTCCAAAGACTCCAGCTGGGTTAGGATGATGCTGCATCTCCATCCTCGTAGTGTTGATTCATCAAGTGCCAGCAATGCTTTTCTGGAGTGACCAAACTTGTCACACCAACTTGTGGATGTCCCAATATATCCCGATGTTCTGCGGTGTTTGGTCGAAAGCAAAAGGCAATCCTGATATGCCCAACGTTGGTCGATTCCACTTTCTGCTTTTGGAGTGCAATGTCCTGTTAACCATCAGATAGGAGCTAATGCTTGAGAAAACAGTACCCAGTCAATGATGTCGATATCCAACCATAGGAGGGAATTGCCTTCCAAAGAATTACAAGCCAGTTGACTCTGAAACGGCAGCCAACGCACGTAACTCACTGGCCCCACATGTTCACTCCACGTAACTCCACGCAAAACTCACGCGGACTGAAGAGATCTGAACAGCACATGCAACCTGGAAGGTGGATCATCCGTTGACTGAGCAGGGCATCCAGCAGGCCAAGCGCCTGCGAGACGCGGCGGCACAGGCGCGGGATCTCGCACCGCCGGTCGGGTCACGGGGCTGGTCTCCTTTGGGAACGGGTCTGGCACTGACCACTTTCCACCTTTTTGGAGGGTCAGAGTAGGCAAAAAAGGATCCTACGTCCTACAAGGGTTGGTCATCCAGGTCACCCTTGAGGGGGGAGAAGTGGGAAGGTAGACTCAGACCGACGATGTTTCGAAACTGACGGAGGTAACGATTGATGCCTGAATTTCTCGAGGTATGCTTGAAGCTTGAGGTGTCTGGGAAAAAGCTCAATGGGTAAACAATCCAACATCTAGCCTCCAACAAGGATGTGTCACGAGCAGCCGTGATCGTCAGTAATTATTGTCCTTCATCCACAGCATTCCTACCATGTTCCAAAGCATTCATCGGACACCCACATCACCCTCGCTAAGCCTTCATCCTCTCTGCTTAAAGCACTTGCCACAGTAAAATCCAAATTCAAACTCAACACTGTATATAGTAAATGCGCCAAGGCACCTCCACCCCTGGGCTGTTCCTTTTTTGCATCCCTCTCCACGTCGCAATGCTGCGCAGGACGCCCTATGGTCGCAGAGTCGGCTCTTCTCATCGCCGCTGACGCGCGCCCTGCAGACCACCTTGTTGGCCACGGCTGTCGCCGGTTCCGAGGGCGAGTCGCCAGCGAGGAGATGACCAGAGTTCGCCAGAGGTGTTGGTTTTGGATGGGAAGACGGAAGATGGGGGTGTTTTGCTTTGTTTTTTGAAAACACGTTGTTGTATGAGATGAGAAAGGGAAAGAAGGTTAAAGCAGATTTTGCGGGCAACTTGGAGAAATGTGCACTGAAGGTTCTTTTTCACTGAAGCAGTAATAAGGTGAACTGATGAATGGTGGTTTTCAATAGTGCACACGTACACTCCACGGTTTTGAGTTTTGAGGTTCAAAAGCACTCCAAGAATATAAAATGGTTTCCAAGAATGGAACCAAGAGCTCCAGCGAAGCAGTTTCAGTGGTATTTGTGCCCCTACATAGGCATGCAAGAGACCAGCCAACAGGATAGTCGTTGACGCATCAACTTCCATACCTTCGCAATCTTCACATCCGTACGCATGTAGAAAGCGGAACGTGTTACATCCACGTGACTTGAGCGGCCGGGGTGGGTGTGTCTTTGTGGAGTGATTCTTTGTTGGGTGCAGAATTGCAGTTTCAGTGCTTAATTGAATACTTTCAGAATCCCAAAAGTTTCAGTGCTTCTTCAACTACGAATGCATGGAAGTGGACGAATTTTGTGCCTCACAACAGGGGTCGGTCGGTTTGACATTTTTAGCAGGCGGATGCCTAGCGGCTCCAACAGGCAGTCTTGCCTAAGGGAAACGAGGGCGGCTGCCAACTGGCAGAAAGAGGAGGTGTGCAAGGGACCCTGGTCTAAAACAGGGATGTATTCAGAGGTTGACCTCTTCCTTTGCTGTCCACCTTCCCCCTGTCAAGTCGCCGTATTCAGAGACGTAGGAGCACTTCTACCTCCAGATCCTGGGTCACCTGGGTTTGAAGTCAGCAGAGCTTGGCTTCTAGAGAACCATCGCCAGACTTAACGCTACTGGGCATGGGTCTTTTCGTGGGTGTGGTGCTCATTCGATCGTAGGCGATACCTAGTGAAGGTCTCCCCGATTGGTCAGGTGTGTCTAGCAAACCACTGCAAACCACTGGGCCCCACAGCTCCAGGAGCGCCAAGCGCTTGACGCTGCTGCCTGACGCGCGCGAGATCGCTTGGCCGCTGGCAGGTCCCGACTCCCGCAGTCGCGTGCTGGGTGAAGGAGTCATGGCACGCGCATTGGAGGAGCTGAGAAAAGCGCCTGGACGGGATTAGCAACCAATTTGCTGTACACCCTGTTCTGGCTCGGATTCCAAGCCCCTTCAGTACTTCAGTTGTGGACCAGATCAGTACTTCAGTCTGGCCAATTCGGTGACCGGAGTGGGGCGCTCGAAACGCAAAATCGAGGCCTGAACCCACTGGATGGGGCCAGCAGTGATGTTTGAGATGTTGACTTTTGGGAGGCGCCTTGGGAATCTCTCCACCGTGTTCTGAAGATAGGATATAACTTGACATATATACTGTAAACTGAATGCAGAAAACTGGATGATATTACTAGATACAGTATTGGCTGATGTTGGGATGTAACTTGATTGACTTTGGACTTGCTCGGATCTGTCAAATGTTTTCCCATTGCTCCAGGCTCCAGAGAGGCAAACCCAGGCATAGATATCTCAACAGGAGTTCCCAGGCACAGGTGAACCAGCTTGCAAACAACTTCCAAGTTGCAAGATCGATAGAGTAGTCTTGTGTTCTGGTTTGCAGTCCATTGGGTGGTCTTTTCGCTTGAGACCTTCTTGTGGCACCCTTTGGCTTGAGATGGAACTGCTGTTCTTGGGATTGAAATACTATCTGGGCATGACCTTTTTTTTGGAGTCACCCAACCAATGGCTTTTGGTCAGCACCGCCTGAATCGCGTGTCCCACCTGCCATACGCGTGCGCGTATTTTTCACACGGCACGGTCATCACATGGAAGCCACGTGAGGTGGAGGCCACGTGGACCGAATGCACTGAGGAAGCTGAGACATCGAAATGGGGATACTCAGGGGACCGTTGGGGGTCCGACCATCGGGTTTGACCGGGGTCGGACGTTTGGATCGACCGGGGTTTGGATTGAGTCTTTCAATTGTTCACACATGCTGTATACATATTGTATATTATGGGGAGTATATATATATATATATATGTAGAGAGGAGCTAATAGCACGCAGTGGCACAAACATCAGGAATATAGAGTGTATCGGAGTGTATAACCCTGGTTCACCATAGAATATGTATCCCCATCTAAACAAATGGCGAGCCACAGGGTGGCGCCATATATGCCATATATTCTGAAATCATTGCAAGAGAAAACCATGAGAAAACCAACCCCGAGAAACCTTTTGCAGGAAAAAAAGTATGCATGTAGACATCAGACCCTTTTACCACACGAAACGACCTGGGCAATTCGACCCAAATGTGATTGACTGCATCTATATTAACGAAGTACATAAGAAGCATAGTCTAAGCGTTTCTCCTCCTCGAAAATGTTCATAGACGAAAAACAAGAGTGATAAAGAAAAAGGACGAAACAGGACCAGAGAAGCAAAAGTATAGGAAAGGTGAGTTTAAGTCCCTATCATATCAGAATGACAAAAATGTGGATGAAGAAATGTCCACTAACGTGCACTGAGCCCTTTCACTGTGTCTTTGTGTAAATCTCGTGGACGGGACCCTTCACCATGCAAACAACGAGTCCGTCCAAGTGAAACCTTTCAAGCCATGCTTTCGTGCTCGCAAACAGCAGCGCTCCGAGGAGCAATCTGTGGTGGATGCATCTCTGGTGGAGAAAGTTTGGTGGAACAAGTTCTGGGAGTCCAAGACAGAGATGCAAGAGAGGCGTGTTCGCTTGAGCCCCATGGGTTATGCTGCTGGAGGCAGAATGGGCATTTGATCAAGCTGTTGTCGAGCTTGTCATCATGATCCCCAAGCCAAACTCTTGGCTCAGCCTTCCCAAGTGTGCCCTCATTGTTGGGCGCCCTTTGAGTGAGTGTGTGATCTGTTTGATTGTCTTCTGAGTCGTGCCACTTGTCGGATGAGACCCCCTTGTTTGGAGGACAAGCACTGGTTATACCGAAGGTTGTCAACCGTCTTCGCTAGACTCGCTAGACACTCGGGGGCCGCAGGTTGAAGCGGCTTCTGCAGACCATTGAGCCAGCGACTTGGTTGCACAGGAGAAATCAAGTGAGGCTCCGGAGCTCCAAAGCAAACCGCTAAAAGACAACAAGACAGACTCTTTAGCGGTTGGGGTGATGAATGGACAGCAGGGGACCAAAAGGTCAACCTGTTTTTCACCCAAATGGAGGGGGTCGGTTAAAATGACTCTGACTATCTCTGACTCAATTTGTCCTTGACCAGGTGAGGGCGAGGTGAGTTTGAGGAGAGTAGGGATACCCACTGCAATGTGAGTTCACAGTCCAGATCTTGTTCAGAAGTAAATGAACTGGCCTCCCAACTAACCAAGCTCCTCCAAAAGAAGACCATCCGACCAAAACACCGCACCCAACTGCCTGTCCTCAACGGTCACCTTGAGGCGATGCCGGGCCAAAGTAGTGTCCTGGTTTGTCACAGCTTGTTGATTCAGCGGCTCTTCAAGGCGAGGAGCGCAGAGCTTGGCGCTTGGGAGAATGGACTTTTTTTTTTCGAGACAAAACATCACATCCTCCCTGGACCTGTTTAGTGGACTCTAAATTTGTTTGTGACCATCATGTTTTGGATGGTTCGTGACCTCTTTAGAGAATTGTGACCTGTGACCGCTTGAAAAACCTCTTCGTCTTCTTCACTTGGCCACGCCGGGATCCAACCCTTCGGGCGAACTCACGGTCGACCGAGTTCAGTGTTTGACCTTCGGCGCTTCCCCTCATGCAGCGCCACAGGTGTGTGAGAACCAAAGCTGGTCCGTTCTTTGACCGAGTCCTTTTTCCCGACATCCCAAAGAAATTCACATGTGTTCTCTCATCGCGTTCAAGAATGTTGGAATGTCCCTCTTTCGGGGTGGACATGCCGCCGGATGTTGGACATGTCTACCTTGCACCACACGACACATCGCGTGGAGAAGATGTTGGAGGAGGTTCCGCTGGGGGGGTCCAAAAGCGAAGGAAATCGGCCGTCATCTTCACCCATCTCAGCTCAATCCCAACTCACTTCGATGCACCCAGTTCGGTTCAGGACTTCGCTGCTCCCAGCTTGGTGAAGGAGCGGAAAATCCGATTGTGGATCAACAGCAAGCGATTGTACATGTCTGTGTGCACTCATTAGCCTTTTCATGCCTTTTCCATCCCTTTCCAGTCCAGCCTTTCAGGGCCTTTAAACCACGGAGGGGGATGTTCTTTTCTGGCAAAGTCCACGAATGAGAGTGTGCACGAGGTTTGGTGAAGGATGCTACTTATGCCGTGAAATCCAATGACAGGGGCATGTTGATGCAAGTGGTATGGCAGGTTATATAAGTACGGTTCAGGAATCTCAGGAAACTAGTGTTAAAGCAGGTGGGTTGCAATGTGAGAAGATGGATTGAATTCTTTTTTATTCTCTGCTGCTGCCGCTGCTGCTGCTACTACTCCTACTTTTTCTTCTACTACTACTACTACTAATACTACTACTTCTTCTTCTACTTCTACTTCTACTTCTGCCACCTTGTTTGAAGGGTCGTTGGAGTCTCAAGGATCTTGGATGGTTTGGTAGATGCTTCCATCCTTCCCGGCCAGGCTTGACATTAGCCAGCAAAAAAGAAGCAACAACTATCCACCCCAAGAGGTGAATTCTTGTTCCCTATGGATCCAACTGAATCTTCAGGAAGTTGGACCCTACAAACCTACATCCCCAAACGAATCTCAGATGCCTTTTGATGCTTAATAAAACGATGGTTGTTCGGGTTTCATATGGTTTCATGCTATTATATCCATCAAATCAATGGTGGGCCAGGAAGCCTCGTAGGGTACTTCTTTTTCTGGGAGATCCGCACTGGCAGGACCCTGAGAAGCAGCAACTCCTGTCGGGTCTCCGGTCGCGCAAGTTGCAGAACTGTGGTGCCCTGGTGGAGCGACGTGGAGCGACGTGTCGCGTTGGGACGAGCAGAGAAGGAACGGAGTGAAGACGAGGAGAGTTGGTGGATGGCAGCCCTGAGAAGGTGCAAGAGGCAACGAGCTCTTTTTGTAATGAGCTGCCGAAAGTCCAGACTGACTGATTCTTGATGAATAACCGGGGGGGTGATTCATCAAGTGTCTGCATTATGAGGTTCAAGCAGTTGTTTGGCCATTAAAGACTAGATCCCGTGTCGAAGCGTCGAAAGACTGTATCTTCACCCCATGCAGAATCCACTATCTCATCCTATCTCCCCATCCACATGAGAGCTACACAAGGTCATGCTTCCCCCGTGCACTCGCCGTCTGACTGTCATAGGACGTCCGGACATTGTCCTCTGCATCTCCTCTCCACCGACCTCCGCTGACCTCCCCGGACCGACGTCGAGGTCGGTCGCGACCTCGCCTCCGACCGGTCGCCCGGCAGTGTGGTGTGCCCATACTCAGATGTGAGCATACTCAGCCCTGGCATGTGAGTATCATACTGAAGAACGAGTGGGCCAAAATAAACCTCGTTCTCTGGATCACAGGTTGATCGGTCCAGCGTTGCAAGCCTGGGCCGTTGTGCCTTTCTGGGTGGTATAAACCAAACATAAACCAAGTCTTACAAGATTGACCTCATTATTCTGTTGGTACTATTCTACACTGAACGCTCTTTATCCTTTGAACATTCCCCGTCCCGAATCAAAGGATGCGAAAGGTCTGGTGCCACCTTTTCGCGCGTGCGAATTTCCTCGGCCCATCTCCAACTCGGACGCCTCCCGTTGGAACCACCGTGGACGCCTCCAAACGCACGGCGTCTCGCGACAGGTGCCGTGCGGCTTCGCTTGGACACTGGCCAGATCCACGACGTAGAGTTGGCCTTTGGAACCAAGCTCGTGTGACACTGGGCGGACCCGGCCACCCGGTGGTCCCGCTGGCCGGCGGAGTGAGCTGCGCCGCGTGGTTGCACCAAGTCCTCCACCTGAGCAGGTGGAGTGTTTTCATGAGTGTTTTCGGCCCAAAGAAGGCTCAATGACTCAAGGAGCTGCATGGAACGGCTGCAGCTGTTGATGCGAAGTGTTTGTGACCAGATCAAGCGACGTGGACATAAACATCTAAGAAGTGGAGGTCCAGCTGTGTTGAGTTGTTTCTTGGACCCAGAAGCGAGTGGGGCATGCGGACTGGTTGGCGGATATCAGGCGTTGGAAGCGTACCTCCCAGGGCAACACCCACTTCAAACAGCTTCGCGGTTGGAGGTCCATGCCAAAACCTTTGTAGCGAAGTTTCTCGCTTCGCGGTGCAAAATGAGCAGACTTGGCAGAGTGCAGACTTGGCAGACTTCGTATGAGTGTATACCGGAACACGAAAAGTCGTGGAAAACAAGGCATATCCTGTGATCCCTGGTTTTTTCATGTTGAATTTGCAGGCATGGAGTCTTTTCTTGTGTTTCGGAGAGGTAGCAAAATCTTGATGTCCTTTTGCTGGTCATGAGTTGTGATAATGGGAAGGTATGGCGTTGGGATTCAATGTGGTGTGAATGATGAAGCCCCTTGATTTGGGGAGCTTGGATACTTATTTGCTGTTTAGTTTGCAAGACTCTTCACCATGAAATAATGACCACATAAAGACCGCAACAATATGACGTTCTTTTTCGTGGTTAATGAACTGGTCACCTCCACAACAACAAATATGACGGTCTTTTTTGATACGATCCAATATGCTCCCCAACCAATCTCACAGGGAGAGAAGCCAAAAAGCCTGGTTCCAACGGCGGAGAACGATCGTGGCTTCGTCTGGTTCTGTGGCTTGGTGATTGACGAACAGAGAGACGAACCTTCCGCTGACGTCGCATCAGGTGCTTGGTTTTTTGGTGGTCTAACTACATGGTTTTGCTTCAGATTACTTTTGATTTTCCCTATCAGTCCGGTGAATCCCCTTCTGGCCAATATGTTCTTCAAAATGTGAGACAGGATCCAATGGGAAAGGTGGGGTACCCTCTCAAGTTTCACAAGAGAGGTCTGAAAGGTCCTTTAGCTCACAAGAGAAGGCGACGTTGTGTCGTCCCTGTAGGGGTAATCAGCTGACAGAGAACGGAGGTGGAAAAAACACATTCAAAATAAACATCCCAGCCAGAAGCGACGAAGAACTGGGAAACTGATCTTGCCAGGCAAGGAATCAAGCAAGCCTTTGAGGAGGTGGTCTTCAAGATACTAGACACACCTTCTCTGCTGCAGAGTACCTTGGAGAATAAGGACCATCTCGCTGGTCGCTTGGTCCTTTCGTTTCGATGTTTGGGACGCTGAGCGCCCCGACTGCGCCAGTGGCAGAAACACGACCCTTTAGAAAACGGGCGGTGTTCGACTTCCAGTCCCCGCCCATGTCTTCCAGTCCGATGAGGGATCACGAAGCCGTCCTTTTATTCACAATGCATTTCTTTAGGGTTGACCCTTTAGAAACAAATGCATGGTGTTTTTGGGGGTCAAAAAGGGAGAAGCTCTGATGTTGTGGTTTCAGGGGTTTGGACACAGAGACTATCAGAGACCATCAGAGACCTTGAGGGTTCCGGATTTGCTAGCCAGCTTGACGAGTGGCTTGCGCTCCTGTTGGAGAGAGTGTTTCGCTTCATGTGTGCAATCACTGTCGAAGTCGTTATGTTCGGCATGTACTCCAAGTTTGCCTGAACCCGTGTGCTTGCCTTTGTGAACCGCTTAGGACAGACCCAAACTCATCCAACCTCAACCTTATCCAACCTGGATGCTGGATGGAAATCCTGAACCTAAAATCTGCAAAACCTGTCTTTTTTGATGGGATAACTGTCATTTTAGATGCTTCGGATGGAGGTCTTCCTTCAACGGCCAAAGAGCCCCTGATTGGTTTGTGGCAGAGATCAACTTTCAACCAATGGCCTCTGAACAGCACATGCCGCACGCATGCCCTTTTGGAGGGTGGAAGTTACTCTCCCACAAACCAACACAATGCCTACCCAGAAGAGTCATTAATTCATGAAGAATCCTCATGTTGTTAAAGCCCTTTGTGGTGGGACTGGGTGAAGTTCGATGCTCAAGAAATTGCATCCTCCAACGGAATTGGATGTTCTCAATCAAAATGACACAACTCTTCTGTGCGCTTGTTGGCTCGGTCCTTTTTTCACGACTGCACTACCAAGCCGACTGCCTCCGCTTCTTGTATGCGGTACCAACACGACCGAAGGGTGAGAAGGGCGTCCGAGATTCGGTGCAATAGGTCTCCAACACACATCAGTCGCTAGGCTGCAAAACGGGATGCATAAAGATCACACAACGTGATAGATCCGCGTGTTCATGAGAAAGACGTTCCCACTCTGCGAAAGCAGAAATGGAATGGCACCTCACAGGCATGCACAGGCCCAAAAGGACTGCACACACAATTGCCCCTGGAACGACGCCGCGCTCTTGCACGGTCGAGACGAGTCTCTGGGCCCTTGAGGCACACAGCCCCTGGGCGCGCGTCAAGTGGATGTAAACTCTCAGCGGCAGGCATGTGAGAGATCTCGCGTCAGGGGAGGGCGAGAGATCTCACAACAGGACGACACCTGCACCATGAATTCACCGCTTGGTTGGAAAAAGTCTGTTAAAAATGGGGAGATGAAGATTCGCAGAATCCCAAAGGAGGGACTCGCATTGGTCCAAATAGGTCCAAAGGCTTCGTTCTGTTTGTCGAGCGTCGCCCCGTTTGACTCAGTATCGGTCGCCTTTGGGGAGAGTGAGACGCCGGAGGTCGACCTCCGGTCGCCTTGAGGCGACAGGGACACTGGTCCTTGGCCTTGGGTTGATGCATGTCATTTTGCATGTCCGATCATTTTTGATGCCTTCTATTTTATGGGTGTGATACTGGGTTTGTCCGCTCGTAGATGAACTGAAGAGGTTTTGTGAACGGTTGTACGTTGTGAGGATGCTGAGGATGCCTGGTTGAATGAAGAACCCAACCAAGACCCCTTCGACGTATCGGAGACCCTACGGCGTGTCGTTCGTAGGTCCACCACTTGACTAGTGGATATGACCTGTATCGCAAGGGGTTTTCGAGCAGTTTCCCCAGAAAGGATTCCCAAGCCATTAGGTCACATTGACACCAAGACGAGATCAACTACAAACAAAAAGCAAACATAGAGGATGGCGTACAATCCTCCTAGAAGTCCAAGATGAAGTCATTGTCCACGAGGACTTCTGGTCATGTTCATTTGTTCATCAATAAACACCCTGGGGCCCCTGCAAGCCTGCGAACGACCATCCAGGCACACGAAGCCTGGAAGCATCATGGTTTCGTGAAACACCACGTAGTGATGGTATTCGGATTTCATGGTAATCCGCCATCCACTTCCACCATGATGAGTCCAGGGAGTTTAAGTACGGAGGAAGGGCTTCATGAACCTGATTTTGCTTATAATTAAGGCGATGTGCTATTTTCCCGAACTGGGTGAATCCCCTTCAATGAGGAAATTGTTTTTAATTGTTGTTCCCGGTTTGCTGGGAGCAAATCCAAATGAATCCCAAATTCATGATATTTCATGATTCGTTGACTTCAGCTGCCACACCGTTTGGGTAACTCACGTTCGGAAGGCCCCTGCAGAAGGCTGCAACTGCTGAAGGTTCCGAGGAAGCGCGGGGAAATGGGACATGGTGGAAAAGAATGGAAACGAGTGTTAGACATATACTGTACTTAGTGCATAGCCGCTGCACGACTTTTGCCGTCTCGCACTGGAGT